TCAAGTCCATTCTCTATGTCTGCATCTTCATTCCTGTCCTGCCCCTAGGTTCTTCAAAACCATTTTTTTTTTTTTAGATTCCATATATATGTGTTAGTATACAGTATTTGCTTTTCTTTTTCTTACTTCACTCTGTATAACAGACTCTAGGTCCATCCACCTCACTACAAATAACTCAATTTTGTTTCTTTTTATGACTAATATTCCATTGTATATATGTGCCACATCTTCTTTATCCATTCATCTGTCGATGGACACTTAGGTTGCTTCCAGGTGCTAGCTATTGTAAATAGAGCTGCAATGAACATTGTGGTATATGACTCTTTTTGAATTATGGTTTTCTCAGGGTATATGCCCAGTAGTGGGATTGCTGGGTCACATGGTAGTTCTATTTTTAGTTTTTTAAGGAACCTCCATACTGTTCTCCATACTGGCTGTATCAATTTACATTCCCACCAACAGTGCAAGAGGGTTCCCTTTTCTCCACACCCTCTCCAGCATTTATTGTTTCTAGATTTTTTGATGATGGCCATTCTGACCAGTGTGAGGTGATATCTCATTGTAGTTTTGATTTGCATTTCTCTAATGATTAGTGATGTTGAGCATCCTTTCATGTGTTTGTTGGCAATCTGTATATCTTCTTTGGAGAAATATCTATTTAGGTCTTCTGCCCAGTTTTGGAGTGGGTTGTTTGTTTTTTTGATACTGAGCTGCATGAGCTGCTTGTAAATTTTGGAGATTAATCCTTTGTCAGTTGCTTCATTTGCAAATATTTTCTCCCATTCTGAGGGTTGTCTTTGGTCTTGTTTATGGTTTCCTTTGCTGTGCAAAGGCTTTTAAGTTTCATTAGGTTCCATTGTTTATTTTTGTTTTTATTTCCATTACTCTAGGAGGTGGAGCAAAAAGGATCTTGCTGTGATTTCTGTCATAGAGTGTTCTGCCTATGTTTTCCTCTAAGAGTTTTGTAGTGTCTGGCCTTACATTTAGGTCTTAAAAATATGGAACGCTTCACGAACTTGTGTGTCATCCTTGTGCAGGGGCCACGGTAATCTCTGTATCGCTCCAATTTTAGTATATGTGCTGCCGAAGCAAGCACTAAAATAACAGGGCTTTTAGGATCATTGACTGCCTAGAGAAAAGATGCTACCAAGTCCTATAATATCAAAAATCACAAAACTGAAACCTACAAGCAAATGTGTCATTAAATTTTACAAAGACATTCGTTTGAACTGTAATTACCTGGGGAAAAAAATGAAATAACCATGTTGTTTTCTCTATTTTTAAGAGAATCAGAGTAGGCCAACTAGGTATAAATTTACAAGCATCTTAAATGTTTATGAGTACTTCCTTTGTTTTCTCATATTTAAAATTTCTTTTGTGCTGCAAGTGTTGAAAAGCGATTATAACGCCTTAATACGTAATTCATCACCCTACAAGCTATCACCATATTTAGTGGTAGTTTCAGAAAAAAAAAAAATTATGTATGCAAGATAAGCCTAATAAAACTCATGAAAAATGTAATATCCGATTTTTAGAACCTAATGTGCTCAAGGAAGTATTTGTGCTTTTAAATTAGGAGAACTCTATATTTAATTAGTCCTCATTTGCGTACGTAATCTTTTTAATTTATTTGCACAAACACAGGACATTGTGCTCCATCAGCAGGTAATGTTCTTTATTAACTAGACTAGGAACTTCATGCACAGGAAGAAATATTCCTATCTGTGATGCAAAAGTCAGAACTACACACTGTCTTGACTTCGTTCTTCAGGTTTTATGGTCACCATTCCAAGATAATAGAATAGAATAATATAAAACACTTGACTAGGTAATCTGCCAATCTCTAGAAATCAGTAATTTAATATTTAATGTTTGTTTTTACGTACTGCCCAGTTACAAACTGGGTATTTATGCATGAACAAAGTAACTTATTGAAATTCAAGTACTACTAATAATGCACTAAAATTCAAACTTCAATAATTTGGATGGTGGCAGAAGTAGAACTGATTAAAAGTCAGTGATTTCTTCATTGGTGGTGTCAACTAATAACAGCCTAGATTGTGGAGAAAGTGGTGAGGACAGGCTTTAAGATGTTTGAAAGTCAACACTGTATGCTTGACAAGCTAATGACAGATCATACTTATCTACTCATTAAAGCACATGAAACAATTTTTCCTTAGGGCATTTCCAATAGACCCTGATAATCTTGTTATTGCCACTCCTTCCCCCAAATCCTAAATACATTCTAAAAAGAAAACAAGAAACTCTCATTAACTACTGTGACTAAAAAAGTACTTGTGTTTTTGCCTACTACTAAATGCTTCATTCTTAAAGTTACTTTGAAAACAAGCATATTATTAAGATACAAATACATTGCTTGAGGAATAACTTAAGCTTTCATTTTCAAATAAATTGAGATTTACAATAATTGAGTTCATTTGGTGATTTGGAATTTGACACTACAGGATGAATCAGTGGATACTTTGCGAGGACAGATTTCACTTGGGGCTACTGTTTGGGTAGGAAGCTTGCTCTAGCTAAAGTCTTGAAGGAAGGCCCAGTGCTGTTCTTTGGTAAGTACTCTTCATGTGATGATCTACACCGAGTTACGTTTTTTTGGAAAACTTTTGGCACAACTTTACAACAGGCTAAGCACTGTGTCATATATAATTTTTTCTCCCACACGGCAAGTTAAGCAAATTGTTCAAGTCATTACATTAGATATGCTCTATATGACAACAGGCAGATCTCCAAATATCATCTTGATTTCCCATAATTCTTCATGACTGGGTCTGAGTATCCTATAACATTACAGAGATAACTGTCCTCACTTAGTTTTGGAATATATTTGAGTTGAGCAATGCCTATTATAGTTGCAAAATGTCATATGCATAGTACTTAGATCCCATCCCAAGTCAAATCATTACATACATTTTAAAAAATTCTCTTTGATTGGATGACCAGTATGTAAGGACAGTGTTTAAAGATTTACAGAATTTTTCATTATCTGCATAACTTTATCTGGCAAAAGAATGCCTATTTCTATAAGCTTTCTTATACAGCTCCTGAAAACACCCATTGGTAAACGTATTACAGCAAAGTTGTAAAATATACATTTATACTATATGTAAAATCAACTGCATGTCTTTGGCATACATGCTTGCATAAACACACTCGCTTGAGTGAGTGAACCTGAAAAATCCACTCACAAAGAGTTTTACTCAGAGACAGTCACTGGGTTAAGCTTTTAGTGATGCTGAGAGCATCTCCAGTACTTAAAGGTACATCCATGGTTTGGGTATAAAATGGACCTAAAAGCAAACCATATGCTCTTCCTGGTACTTAGCTGAAGCAGCAGAAAGCTATTCCGATGCTAGAGAAAAACATTACCACATCGTATTTCTGAGACACAGTTATGTCCGTTTTTAAAGTATGCACAAATATGGCTACATATACTGTATTTTTGATGAGAGAGTTTTATAAAAGGGAAATTTTGGTCACGCATGCCTCTTCATGTAAACAAGCAAACTTGAGAACTCTTGTATCAAAGGCAATTCCACTGTGTACCCATTCTGACAGAATATAAAATAGTTTTGCAACTAATCATTTTGGGGTTAAATAAAAGACAACTAACAACAAAAATCTCTACATTATTGATTTAAACTAAAAATTATTTTGTTGGGGGTGGAGGCAAAAAAATAAGAAAACAGTTTGATCCATTTGGGGAATTTAGCTGAAGATTAATGGTCTTAAGTCTAACTAACCGAGGGAGATTTTAATTCCCAAAGCATTATCTACCCTTTTCATTAGGAAGAACTGGATATTAACAGAAGGCACCCATTACATTTACCTTAGGAAGAACTGTTTACACTTATAAAATGAATTGAAAAAGGCAAAAAAGATACTATCCAAGGATTATAATAAAAAATATTCTAAAACAATTTGGTAAGTTTAAAAACCCAGCCAATAGCTAATTACTAGTGAGTACGTTCCTCCAGAAGATTAAATATTAATGAAGGAAAACAAATTTATGTAATTCCAGAGATCAGAAATCATGATCTTCTTGTAAGAAGTATGTTTTATTATTTTAACCTTTTATGGTTGAACACTAGCTCTAAAAAAGAACCATGAATATGTCAGCGTGGCATTTCTTTTTATTTAGTCTGAAAGCCTCCTCTTAAAAAAAAAAAAAAACAAAAAAGAGCAACATTTTCCCTCCCAGTATGGCATCTTTCTCATAACTGAGCTTTGTCCAAAATCAGAATCTGGCTCCAGAAAAAGCCAATCATCAAGATATGGTATTTTCTTACAGACTTTCTGACAAGAGAACATGACAATATTAACCAAATAAATTCAACACAAGGAAATAATGTAACTCAAAGCAAACTACTTTTTGTTTAATCTCATTTTTTGATTCTATACTAGATGACCACTATTCTTAAAGCTTAAAATAAATTGGGAATACAAGTCAAAACCAGACCCTAGTTAAAGAAAATGGAACACCGAGAACAGTGGGTTAGCAAAAGTAAACTCAACAACACACTTTAAATCAACTGGGAAAATTTTAATTAATAAGCATCAAATGTACTTTACATTGAAACTGCAATACTGAAACTGTGACATTTTAAATATTCTTCGCAAAAAAGGTTAGTGATTTTCTTTTTCCTGGGAAACATGGAGATCAAATTATGAGCATTAATGCAGAGTCTAGGTCACTGTGGTTTAGTTAATGCTAGTATCTGAAGAGAAGTTCACATTTCCCATCTACAATAAGGTAGACTGTGAACTACTTGTATCGCTGAATTTAGCTAAAATTCCATGAGATAATTTAGAGGACTGTCAAACTTTTGAAGTGCAAACTCATAAAACTTTACATTGGGATCACTTTTTTGCTTCAACTGCACCTGACTTGACAATACAGGTAATTTTTATTTCCTAACTCCTTGGAAAATATTTCTCCAATAAGTCTTAGTTTCCCACAGTTGATAAAAATCCATCAAAAACATTATGTTAGCAAGGAGAAGAGCTGTTTTTCTAAGGCTGCAGGAACACGAAAGAAATAGCACTTCTTATTTGTATTAGCACAAACATTTAAACCTAGTCATACTGCAGGTAAATCCAATATAGTATTCAAAAGTTCTATAAAAATGAACAAAAGATACGTATTTACTTCCATTGCTCCAAGAGTCAAACATCAGATCTGCACGAGAGTTGTACTGTAGCACTTTGCTGGTCCAACTTAAGAGTTCAAAGTCCTTTTTGCTATTTGGCCCAATGATGTCCACATCCGAGATAAATTCAGTTCAAAAAACAGAAATTAGGGCAAAGATTCCGTATAGCAAAGCACAAGGATATGCTACTAGAAGTTGCTGTCCTTCCATGGCTAATGCAGAAATAAAAATTTTGGAAGCAGAAAAACTACACCATCCAATAATTCCAGCAGTGAGAATGATTCCTACCATTCCTCTGTAGCCGACAAGGAAAAACAGGGCGAGGGGAGAGAAACAGTAGATGAGATTAGTTACATAAGTTTTAAAAAAGCACTTAAAAATTCACATGTAGATATCCGCAGAAATAATCAAGATGTTTTTCAAATACTGAAATGTACCTCACAGTGAATTCCATTATTTCATGTGATAAAAAGCTCATCTATAACACATCTTGCTCCTTAATCAAGCACAATTTCTCAGCCTTGGCAGCACTGACATTTGGGGTGGATGCACTTTTGCTGTGGGGGCGTATCTGTCCATCGTTAGGAAGTGACGCAGCATCCTGGCCTCCAGCCATAAAATACCAGGAGCATCCATGCCTCCCACAGTTTTTCACAACTGAAATTGTCTCCAGACATTGCCAAGTGTCCCCCGGTTGCAAAACTAACTCCGGTGGGAAAACGCTGTTTCAGTAGAAAATACTGTGTGTAAAATTTGAATGTAAATGTATCGATCTTAACAAATGAGAAGAGTGAAGCAGGGACACTGTGAGGCCATCATCCTGCCAAATCTCTACTACCAAATAGGTGATATATACTCTTCTCCTAAACTTTCATTTTCAAAGTGTAACAAAGCTCAATCTTTGGTCGTCCAGCACTAGCCACAAGGAGGAGCCTGAACTGTTGAGAGAGCATCTGTGCACTGGCCATGAGAAGTAATGTTATTAGCTGTACTTATACCTTTATTTTTAATTTTATTTTTAAGTTTTTTTTATTTTTTTCGGTACGCAGGCCTCCCACCGTTGTGGCCTCTCCCACTGCGGAGCACAGGCTCCAGACACGCAGGCTCAGCGGCCATGGCTCACGGGCCCAGCCGCTCCGCGGCATGTGAGATCTTCCTGGACTGGGGCACGAACCCGCGTCCCCTGCATCGGCAGGCGGACTCCCAACCACGGCGCCACCAGGGAAGCCCTATACCTTTATTTTTAACCTTACCTAAAATATTATTTTAAAATAACACATATTTAAAGCTGTGTACATCTGGGAACACGGTAGGCTTGTAACAGCCTCTTCCATAAAAAGAATGCTCCATTTTTAGTTAAAAAGCTGCTAAAGAGAGAATATGTGTTTATTATTCATCCACTTAGCATATGCCCGATATCTTTTTTTTTTTTTTGTGGTACACAGGCCTCTCACTGTTTGTGGCCTCTCCCTTTGCGGAGCACAGGCTCCGGATGCACAGGCTCAGCGGCCATGGCTCACAGGCCCAGCCGCTCCGCAGCATGTGGCATCTTCCCGGACTGGGGCACGGACCCGTGTCCCCTGCATCGGCAGGCGGACTCTCAACCACTGCGCCACCAGGGAAGCCCTGCGCCACCAGGGAAGAAGTCAGATATGGTATAAAAAATATCAAAGAGAGGGTAAGTATAATTCTAAACAACTTGACCTTTTCCATGCAGTATTTAAGTTAACAATCACCACTGTTCAATTTGTTTATGGACACTGCTAAGTACACAAAAAACTAAATTCTTTATCATAGGTAAAAGAGAGATGGTATAAAAGATTTTTAAACTTATTCTCACTTCCATTATTCATCACTGAGAAATATAAAACACAGTCCTCACATATAAGAGGCACTATCTAATATGTTGTTGAATCAGTGATTTATCTCTAACTGATGGTGAGGTAAATCCTATTACACAGAATTAGTCAATCAACCCCCAAAATAAAGACCAGCACTTACTGCAAAGAAAATATCACTGCAAAGCTGGAAAGCAGGATCATGGGAAGAAGACAATATCCAAGGACACTTGCCACACAACCGAAGGAAACACCAGTCATACTCATTAAGTTTAATAAACAAAACATTCCTAGGCATCCAATTGCACTGATCCCATATACATAGCCAAACTGGATTTTGCCAGCCTATGGGTAAAGAAAAGATTACAGGTTAAGGACAAAATAGTTATTTTTGGCTTCTTTCACCTGAAATGGCACTCACAGAAGATATACAACTTGTGAGCATTAAAATCCACAAAGGTACCTATTCTTTATACGGAGAAGTAAAACAGTGAGCAGACTGGCTTTTATATCCTTCTTAAGAAGTTTAAAATATCCACCTCCCAACACACAGATATTGTTTTTCATTTTCTAGTTACCATTTGAGCTTGGCACAGAATTCAGCAAAGATATAAAATCATGGTATGATCACCTAAAGTAGCAGATTTCTAAAAATAAATCTGGCTGATTTTAAGCAAATAAACTACAGAGACAAGATGGAAAGCCATTCAGATGTTTGGATAGTAACTAGTATCACTTGAAAGTACGCAAATTCCATCAAAATTGCCCTGAAGCAATTTATTCTCATTGGCAGATGTAGCTATAATCTTTTTAACAGCAGAAATAATCTCATTATTCACTTTACATGGGTGTTAGAGGAATTAGGAGAAAGGAAGCCAAGAGAAGCAGGAAGCCAGGGTTCTGTGAGGAGGGGAGGAGAAAAGAAAAGTGGTTAATAACTGGGCAAGAGGAATATAATGGAATATATTTTCTTCTTTGTTCTTCCAAATTGTTGGTTGCTTTATACAGTTCTCTGACAAACAAACAAACAAACACAAACCTTAAAGATTCTGCTCTTATAAAAGACAGCACTGAACAGTCTTAGGGCAGTGAATGTTAGCTTAATTGTAGTTAGTATTCTTAGTCCAGCTATGTGAACAAACATTGTTATGCTATCACTAAAATCAGTCCACAGAGAAGCCTTTAAAAAGTTCCTGGTTTGTCAGATGTTTGACATATAAAACTCAATTGGGAGAATGTCTCCACAGATTACATTAAATAGCAAAATCCTTGGGATTTTTGTTAGAATCAATATTTGTTTGTAAATACTTGAGTAAGAGTGTAGAAGTTTAAAAGGGCTCAGCTGAGTTCACTAATGCACTCATATAGTAATAATAAAACCTTATACTTATACAGAGCTTTAAACTTTTCAAAGTGTCCTCACATAACCTGTCTTGCTTAATCTCCAAAACAAACTTGTTAGGTGGGAAGCATAGTATTATCTATGAGAGGGAGGTGAAGGATGAAATGACTTTGCTCAAGGGTAGAGTAGGAGCACTGAGTTCACGCCCAGTTTTTCTGACTAAAAAGTCCATCTTCGATCCATTATGTCATTTACCTCTTCTAATTCAGAAACGACATAAAATAAAACAAACAGTAATAATTATCTTTACAACTTTTCATTTTCAATATGCTTTAACATTCTTAGGGAGATGGGAGATAGGGACTAAAACCTGTTGCCTTTAATGTTTCAATTCATTAAATGTTAAAACAGTATATAGAAGACCAGCATTGCTACAACAAAACACCACCCAATGATGAAATTTTAAAAAATAGCAATAAGCTAAAAGTTTTGTCAGTTTTTGAAAGGAAGGAATTTTGATGAGAGACTAAAGCCATACGATATTTATTAATATTTTTTCCCTAATAACTGAAGCACTTAGTGAAACAAGAAATGCTTTCTAAATACACTATATCTATTATCAGTGGAGAAGTAATGAACAGGTACAAATTCAAACAACTCAATACTATTTAAGACACATCAAAGACTTGACTGTATAAGCAGAGTCTCAATAAAGGCTCTTGGTGGAACATCTGATCTCACACTGAGAGCTGCAGCTAACATCTTACCAGTAACAGTGTGGCTCCAAAAGCAAGGCAGAACACCATCGGTCCCGCCAAGTCAGTCTCGTTCATGATGCTGCCATCTGCTACTTTTAATGGGTGTAACACGGTGAGTGTTTTTTGCCAGATGTGATCAAAATTGATACCTAATTCTAAAGAAAAAGAAAATAAGGAAGTCAATCAGGATTTGTGATATACTTTTAGTTTACCAGAATCTATGTTGTAACAGGAGAAAAAATGAAACCACCAATATCAAAAGAGTGATCTAGCAATATCAGATGATATTATTTTGGTGAGTCCTCAATATCAGTCTTTACTGATTATGGTGTTTATTCCACAAATATCCAATTTCTGGTCTGATGTTAGAAACAGGTATGGACATGATGAAACAGACACTCTGCTATGTCTGCATAGCAAAGAATATATGAACAGTGTTAACAGTAAGGGACTCTATACCTGAGGCTTCAGGAACGCTGGAGTCCCTGTGAAAATGTATACAAAACTATGTCTCTCTGCATGTGTGTGCCTTTTTCTGAGGAGAGTATGCATAGCTTTCACTAGACTTTCAAAGCGTATCTGATCAAAAAACAAGAAACACTTTAGAGCTACTGCTTTTTGTGTTTCGGGATACAATTTGAAAAACACCATACTTTTCAGTGATGTTACTAGCTCTGTCAGCTTATTTCCATGCAGAATAATCAATACCACGCTATTTCCTCTCATTTCTTCCACTGATAGAATTTCAATAATAATCTGAAGTAAAAGTTACTCTGCTCATATACTGACATACTTTATTATCACTTTATAAAGATCTATTAAAAATCTGGTCCTCCTGGCTCAATGTGGTTTCATATACACTCTGTTCAAAATGAGTCACTTTAGTAGAAAACTGTTTTCTACAGTATTATTCTTTTAAAGAAAAGGGTAACTTCTCCAAACTAAGATTTATTTTCACTGACCAGCTGGGTACTATAGAGTACTATCAAGTGTTGCAACCAATCGTACCTTCTAATAAAGGTGGCTCATCCTCAAAGTTGTTTCCATATAATGGCTGAGGCGTAGTTGGAGTATACGCCTGAGCTGGCTGGAAAATCTGCCCGGTGTACGGCTGTTGTGGCTGCACCATGTCTGGAGGGACAAACCGGCCTTGGTGCGAGTAGTCATAGCCAGCATACTGTCTACAATAAAAGTAAGTTACATTTCTCAGAATTATGTCAACGCCCCAAACTGATACTCCCAACAGGCAGAAAATCTTAGTCATGCAATTCCCAGGATATCTCTTTGCCAGTTTTTATAAACGGTGGTTGAAATTAATTAGTAAGATCAAGCTGATTATCTACAATAAGTTGTCTGCATTTTACAGAGAATTTTCCTGATGATGTTAAAACTCACTTATGCAGTGCTTAAGCATTTCACAAACTATTAAGTTTTTAAACATCAGGAGGTCAACAAATGAAAACGTAAACGTTTTCTTGTACTTTCCCCTTTAGTGAGCATACATAAAGATAGCTGTGAAATAAAATTTATGCCCAAGACTATGAATAAAAACTCAGGATGACAGACTTTGTACTGCATGTTACGTTAATTTTCCACTGTAACTCAGATCTCTCCATGAGAATGAATGAGTATAAAATCATTCTTCTTTCTTCTCTGTAGTATGTTATTTTTTGCAAGTGGGTAAATCTCTTTAAGAACAACCATCAATTTCAAAAAGTGGAAAAAAATCAAGCTTCTTTTTTGTGAAAGCTTTCTGAATATACAAACATTATTAGCACACCTTGCATCTAAATAGTGCTTTTAATTTTTCAAAGTAATTGTATACCTATTGTCTCCTTTGCTATGTACTATAACAAATCTTGCATTTTAGAAGGAAACCTTACCATGGCTTTTTTAGTGATGAAAACAACAGGGAACAGAAGGATATTGAAGCAATATCTTTTAAAGACCTGTTTTACTATGTTCCAGAAAAATATGACTTAGCTATCAATGGTAAGAAATAAAGAAGTAAAGTAACTATTGTAAAAGTAAGTTACTTTAAAAATGAGAGCTGAGAAGCCTTAGAGATCTTTTAGTCTAATTATCTTTAAAAATTTTTAATTCCCTTTTGAAAAATATAAAAAATCTAATGACCTCATTATTGAGATTTTAAAATTAAATCTAATTTTTAAATTAACTGAACATCTTGATTAAAAGCAAATCAAAGGTGAAGGTTCAACTACACATAGCTCTCATTCTCATGACTTACCACGCTAGTCCAATACATGCTTAAAAAAATACTATTTTTCTAGCTATAAAATATAGAATTCGCTACAGCATTATTTTAATAGCAAAAAGTAGAAACCAAAACAAAATATAAACAGCTATCAGTAACTACACTGTGATATAGGCACAGACTACTCTGCACCTTTTTAAAGGTGTGAGGCAGTTTTGTCTGTACTCGTAAGAAATGATAATCAAGAAATATTCAGTGGGGAAGAAAAAATCTAATATTCAGAATAGTATATACCATATGCACCCACCGTGACTATGCTTTTTAGAATATGTATGCATATCTATGTGCATGTGTGTATATATATATACACGTACATTATATACACCATTATATAGGTAAAGGGACCCAGAGACAGGAGAAGTAAAAGACTTAATTTTCAGGTTATAAACTTTTGTACCTTTGCACCTTTAAAAATCCTGTATATTTATTATTTGTTGAAATTCATTAATTCTAAAATGTCATATGTAATACATGGGTATATATTAACTACTGAAAATTTCCAAAAACATAAATAATAGCCTTTTGAATATTACCGTGTAAAACACTGTTTTAAGTCTTTAATGTGAATTATCTCACATTATTCTCTCTACAATTCTTTAGGAGGTCAATTTTATCATCCTCTCCATTACAAAAATGTGGAAACATATTTGGGTTAAAATGATTTGTCCATGGTGGTGCCAGGATTCAAAACTAGACTTTTTAATTCCAATAGCCAGCTCTTATAACAACTGTAGTAAAAAATTACCCTCAAATCCTACCTGACAGAGACAGCCATTATATCTTTTTCTATACATGCATTTCCCCAGTCATTCTGGTATGCAAGGATCTTGATTACTATTCTCTCTCTCTCCCTCTCTCTCTCTCTCTCTGTCCCTCTCTCTCTCTCTCTCTCTCTCTCTCTCTCTCTCTCTCTCTCTCTC